AAGAAGGATATGCTCCGGGACGAGGGTCAGCACCTTGTCCCAGCTCTCATGGCTGCCCAGGATGTCCTGCCCCAGCAGCGCATACTCCTCAAAGTACTCCTCCACAATGCGCAGCGACTTGCTGGGGGGAAGCAGATGGGATGGTGGGGTTGGCTCTCTGGAGGCCATGCCTGCAACCGTCTGCTCCCAGGACTCCGGGACCCTCCCCTGGCCGAGTCAGTGCCTACTTTGGGACTGCAGGGACATTCCCAGCAGTGGGGGGTACCAATAGGGGTCCCTTGGGGGCACCCCCACCCTGGTTGAGGGGAGGCGACGAAGGCACAACTACCCTCCAGAGAGGAATGGGTCTCTTCGGATCCCTGCTGCTTTGTTCCCGAGCTTGCCCACTATGCCTGGCCCCCAGGGGTGGAGCGGCACCCAGGTCAGACAGGAGGGAGCTGCCAGCACAGGGAAAAGCAGTCCTGGCACTGGGGTGAATTGGGCCCACGAGTGGGGCCTGCCAAGGGGCTTCATGTGGGGGCACTAACCTGATGAAGGGGTGCACGGGGTCCGAGAGATGCACCTTCTTGACAGTGTCAGCCCCACCCTGGGGGGGAGCAAGAGGAGATGGTCAGGATGGAATGAATCTGCCTCAAGCCCGGGTGCCAGGTGGCAGCTCCCAGCACCTGGCTTCCCTGGAGCAGCTGCAATGGAGGGACTGGGGTCAGATGCAGCCCCCAAAGACCCCCCACTCCGGCCCGTCGCACCTTGACCAGGCTGAGGTAGTCGACAATGGAGGAGCGCAGCGAAGACGACCACTTGCGCACGGTGTCGTCACACACCCAGCAGTGCACGCCGCGCCGACCGGAGTACACCCAGAGGCGGTGCTGCACCCCCAGGTCCTCTGTTGGACACAAGGCACGGGGTCAGGCAGGGCCCGCTGGGGGCAAGGAGCACACCCAGTCTGACCACTGCCCCTCACTCCCAACCCGCAGCCCTTGGTCCCCCGACAGCCCTTCTGGTGCCCCTAACTCCAGACCCGCAGCCTCCCCGTCCTGCAGTAAGCAAGGCTGGGCCCAGGACAGCCGTGCCGGGAGCCCCAACTGAGCAACTGGGACCAGCAGGGTGCCTGCAGCCACCACAACTGCCCTGATACAACCAGGAGCCGCGGCGCTGCAGCCCCCAGCCCCAGATGGATGGGTACTTGCCCACGAGCGCTCGGTCGAGGATGCGGATGGCGATGGTCATGAGGGTCCAGCACTTGGAACAGATCTCGGCCAAGCTGCGGGGAGGGAGGGCGTGGGGATGGCGCTGGCTCCGGACACGCCAGTGCCGGCCCACCCCCACAGCCTCCAGGCCCCGGGGAGTACCTGCAGCACCCGCGGACGTCGTCGTAGTCGGTCATGTCGATGTCGAACACCAGCTCCTTCTCCTGGGCCTGGAAGGCCCCCGAGCGCAGCGTGTTGTGCTGGCTCGGCTGGGCCGGGAGGGACAGGTCAGTGCCGGGACCCTGCTCGCCCCCCGCCCCTGCCCCGTGCAGCCGTCTGGCTTGTGGGGGGCAGATGTTGCGCCCCCACCGGGCTGCCTGGGGCCGAAGGCCGTGACCCCGCTGCAGCCCGGGGCCCAGGGGGAGGGAGCGGGATGCCGGCCCAGGCAGGGGCCCGACTCACCCGGTGCGAGTACACCGCCCCGATGTCCACCTTGTAGGGGCAGGCTTTCTGCAGCTCCTTCTCCAGGTCCCGCGGGTGCTCGAAGCTCTGGTACCGCACGTAGATGTCGTCGCGCAGCGTGAACGAGAACTCGCGGCGGGCGAAGTAGCCCTTCTCCACTGCGGGGGGAGCCGCCGGCTCGGTGCCCCGCGCTCCCGCTCCCGCTCCCGGCCCCCGCGCTCCCGC